CCCATCCCATCCCACCCCACGCACCATTCCCGTCCCATCCCACCCATCATTCCCATCCCATCCCACCCACCATTCCCGTCCCACCTGGAAGTCCTGGGGTTTGTTGGCCAGGGGTTTTTTGGGACTGCTCCTGCCCCTCCTGCCCCGCAGGCTGGGCTGGGTTTGGGGTCTGTGGGGCGGGGGGGGCTCCGAGCCGGGGGGGCCCGAGGACGACGACGGCTCCGCCTCGTCCCCCGTCACCCCGGGATCCTCCGGCTCCTCCTCCTCGGCCGCCTCTGGAGCAGGGACAGGGACACGGGGACGTGGGAATGGGGCCAGAGACTGGGATATGGGGAGAGGGACACAGGGATGTGGGAATGGGGCCAGAGACCGGGATATGGGGAGAGGGACACGGGGACGTGGGAATGGGGCCAGAGACCGGGATACGGGGAGAGGGACGCAGGGATGTGGGAATGGGGCCTCCAGAGACTGGGATATGGGGAGAGGGACACAGGGATGTGGGAATGGGGCCAGAGACCGGGATATGGGGGGAGGGACGCGGGGACGTGGGAATGGGGCCTCCCAGGGTGGGATATGGGGAGAGGGACACCAGGATGTGGGAATGGGGCCTCCCAGGGTGGGATATGGGGGGAGGGACATGGGGATGTGGGAATGGGGCCAGAGACCGGGATATGGGGAGAGGGACACAGGGATGTGGGAATGGGGCCTCCAGAGACCAGGATATGGGGAGAGGGACACAGGGATGTGGGAATGGGGCCAGAGACCTGGATATGGGGAGAGGAACACAGGGACGTGGGAATGGGGCCTCCCAGGGTGGGATATGGGGAGAGGGACACAGGGATGTGGGAATGGGGCCTCCCAGGGTGGGATATGGGGAGAGGGACACCGGGACGTGGGAATGGGGCCTCCCAGGGTGGGATAATATGGGGGGCACCGGGGGGGCTCTCACCAGTGCCCGTGTCCAGCTCGGCCGCAGCCGGGGCCGGCTCCGGAGGGGCCGCGGGCGGGAACACCGGGATGGCCCCCGGGGGGGGCAGGTAGGACACCTGGAGCAGCAGGAACGCCTGGAAACAGGGAATGACGTGAGACGGAGCACAGGGAGGGATAACTCGGGGCCTGGAAACAGGGAATGACGTGAGATGGAGCACAGGGAGGGATAACTGGGGGCCTGGATACAGGGAATGCCGTGAGACGGAGCACAGGGAGGGATAACTGGGGGCCTGGATACAGGGAATGACGTGAGACGGAGCACAGGGAGGGATAACTGGGGGCCTGGATACAGGGAATGCCGTGAGACGGAGCACAGGGAGGGATAACTGGGGGCCTGGAAACAGGGAATGACGTGAGATGGAGCACAGGGAGGGATAACTGGGGGCAAACTGGGACATGGGGGTGAGGGACACGGGAAAATTGGCCTGAAACAGGGCTCAGACTGGGCTCAGACTGGGAAGGACAGGGCTCAGATTGGGCTCAAACTGGGCTCAGACCGGGCTCAGACCGGGCTCAGACTGGGCTCAGACTGGGAGGAATGGGGCTCAGACCAGGCTCAAACTGGGAGGAACAGGGCTCAGACCAGGCTCAAACTGGGAGGAACAGGGCTCAGACTGGGCTCAAACTGGGAGCCCCAACTGACAGAGACAAGGTTCAGACTGGTCACAAAGTGGGAGGGACGTTGGTTGGACTGGTCTCAAACTGGGAGTTACATCTCACAGGGCCATTGCTCAGACTGGGCTCAGAGTGGGAGGGCCATTGCCTACACTGGGCTCAAACTGGGAGGGCCATTGCTCAGACTGGGCTCAAACTGGGAGGGCCATTGCTTACACTGGGCTCAAACTGGGAGGGCCATTGCTTACACTGGGCTCAAACTGGGAGGGCCATTGCTTACACTGGGCTCAGACTGGCCAGGCCATGGCTTGTACTGGTCTCAAACTGGGAGCCCCACCTGGCTGGGCCAGGCCATGGCCAAGAGCAGTCTCACACTGGGAGCCCCACCTG